CACACGCGATGCGTTACCCTCCAACTTCCATGCCCGTCGGGAAGAGCGCGCAGCTCGGCGAAGGCTGAAGTGCCCACGAACGTCACGAGCGTCACGTCACGCGACACTATATATCTTTATATATATAATTCTTCTGTGAGTGTGTATGTCACTGAACTTCTCTTAAACGACTGGGCCGATTTTGATGAAATTTTTTGTGTGTGTTCAAGGGGATCTGAGAATGGTTTAGATTCACAATTTTGTCCGCTGGACAACCCCTATTTTTTTAGGGCGGTACGAAGTTCGCTGGTTCAACTAGTATATACATATATATATATGAGTGATGTGTGTGCGGCTCTATTCCCCTATGCCTTATGCACCGGCTAATGTTATGTTATTTATGAAGGGAAATTGTATGATCTCGTTCATTTCAGATGTGTGGTCCGTGCATACAATTTTTTTCTAAATTAGAAATTTAGCAAAATCGTCACCCAGAGTTCCAGACACGAGGGCCTACACTAAAAGAAACTTACTTAGTATGACAAAAAGTCCCCCATAAACAAGCTTAAAGATAGATCGAAAAATAATGTTTCTTACAATGATAAAGTTATCGATCTACAGAGCCCAGGCCCATTCACCACGAGTAACCGGTTTTATTTAATTAACTTAATAATAATTACATATCCTTTCAATGACCTTGAGTGACAACTGGCAAAGGTACTACTCAACGTACAAATTATTATTGTTCAATAAATACGTACCTACTGAGCCGGAACTACCGTAAGTTGACATCTAGTTCCGGAATGCATATTTCACGAGAACGTTCGATGGCCTTTCCCAATATTCTATCCATATTAATGGATATTTCCTCAGTAACAGTAGGCATACGGAAAATAGTTTTTATAAGAAGTTATTTTTCGGAGAGCCGAAACGCGGACACTGACGGTATGGCTGGTCCACAAGTTCAAAGTAGCTCAGGGCGCTATGGAAAGGGCTATGCTCGGCATTTATCTGAAGGATTGCATCAGAAATGAGGTGATCCGACAGAGAACCAGAGTTATCGACATAGCCCACCGGATTAGCAAGTTGAAGTGGCAGTGTGCTGGCCATATTTGCCGCAGAACCGAACACCTTTGGGGTACACGAGTTCTGGAGTGGAGACCGCGTCTAGGCATGGTGGAGTAAGGAGTTGCACAAGGTGGCTGGCAGGAGCTGGATGCGAGTAGCTAAATATCGATCTCAGTGGCGTGCAATTGGAGATACCTATGTCCAGCAGTGGATTAAGATAGGCTGTTGATGATGATGATGATGGCGGATTGGGGCTGGGCTTTAAGCATCTCTTGAAGCGGATTATATTATAGTACTGAGGGAACACTGTGGAGCTCATTCCACAATTTTATTGTTGCCTACCCTGACCCAATCGCCTACCCCGTTGAGCCTTGGAACCTTACTGACCGATAGTAAGACAACACTACCAAAAGTTAGTGTTCTTTTACCGCGGTCTTCTTCAAGGTGGAGGTCACTTCCTCACACGTCTGCTCCAATTCAAGCGGGAATTACTTCTCTTTAAGAAATATTCCCTCGATATCCTCGTTCTGAGTCAAAAGCTCCTGTTAAGAGTGACTCCACGTCCGCGTACCTCGTACTTGCACTTAATCTCTGATCGTAGATAGTGAGCTGTTAAACGGCACTTGTTTATATTCTACTTTAGCTGAAGACCTAAATAATTACTAAACTTTACTTTTTGGCTTCTAGTTCTGAATCTAAAGCTTCTTTTACACCTAAGTCCAAATCCTTACTAATTTGGCGATATCTGTACTTAATCTTTGATTGTAGATAGAGAATTAGTAAACAGGTGCATGCACCTGTTAATAGCCAACTTTCATCTTTTTCTAGGACTTGTTCTCCTACGTTTGTAAGTAAATTGTCAACGCTGTCATTTCACGTTAATTTTCTTCACACTCTTTAAGAGAGGTAGGCAGCGTTGCCAGATTTTTTTTGCCAAGTCATGATTTACGAACTTTTTGAGTGAATAAAGCGGGATTCTTTCGTCAAAAGTGGGAAATATTAATAAAATCTATATAATCAATGGTTTTTTAATATTTATTCGAGTTCAAATTACGTTTACGTGACAAGAGAAAGGTACTTAGTAAAAATATCCATAGAAAATGTATTTTAATAAAAATATGATATGTATTCATTTTTTTTCCTATTCCATCCAAAGGGAAGGCCTGTGCCCCAGCAGTGGGGACATTAATAGGCTGATGATGATGATGATGATGATGATGATATGTATTTTCAATCAGATTTACCATATAGTTAAATAGTCTAATGAGTCTTTGTTTGAGAGTTACGCGCCGGGCAGGTGGCCAGTCCACACTTGTCTGCGCCGCCCGCGCTTTCTCAGTACGCTGCACGCACGGCCGAGCTATTCCCGAAAAGCGGGATTAAGCCTGTCCCGCGTGGGACATTTAATTTTGATTTAAAAATCGGTACGTCCAACCAAAATCGGGACGTCTGGCAACACTGGAGGTAGGGAAAAGGGAATTTTCCGTTCCTATTTGAACGCTCGTCTAGGTAAGCAATCTCCACTTTACAGAAAACTATAGTAAACTGACACTAACTTTTAGTAGTAGTGTTGTGTTTCTGCTGGTGAGTAGGCTGGTCCAGGGCTCCGCGGGGTAGGGGATGGCGTCAGGGTAGGCAACGGTGCGAGTGATATTTTTTGTATCGCGGGATTGGGTTTAGGCCCGCAAGATGAAAATGGCTGGAGCCGCATAGCTTCTGTCGCATCATCTATCTTCGCGATGGGACACCACTTACATTTAACATAATGGGGTGGGGCAATGTCTAGGGGTGATAGCTACATGTGCTCAAGCATTGCTCCGTTTGTTCGTGAGGTGGTGCGGCGAAAACCGGGCGTCGGGACGGTTGTGGTTGATTCCCAACAAGGAGCCCACGCCGTCGACACCGGCAAGGAGAGGGCACATCCCGGAGTTTTAGTGGGTAGAGGCCCATTTCGAGCAGCTATTGAGCCATCTTAATGGTTTGGCTGAATGGGTTGGCGGGAGGTGGGAGGAGGAGTCCCACATATGGACGTAGACGACCTTGTATATTTGGCGGCTGTCCCTTAGTGAGGTGGGACCATGGTAAAAATAAGTTACCTGTAGATCCACTGGCGAACATGGTTTAGAACGGTGGGACAACGAATAAAAAATAACCGTGGGCCCACCAGGGTGACATGTTAGTGGGACTAGGGGTAATCATCATCATCATCATCATCATGAGCCTATTAATATCCCCGCTGCGGGGGCACAGGACTTCCCTATGGATGCAATAGGGAGATTGGACCATGAACACCCACGCCCAGTGCGGATTGGTGGGTGCTAACGACTACAGATGGAGCCTGGGACCAACTTAACGTGCCTTTGAAGCACGACGGTCGAGATAGTACATTTTTAATCACTCATCCAATGACCTTACTAGGGGCAATAGTCGCACTTAACTTCTCTCTTCGTCTTCTAGTTCTGAATCAAAAGCTTCTGTTACGAGCCCACATCCGTAGTTCTTTACAAACTAGTAAACTGCATTCACCTGTTTATATTCTACTTTCATCTGTTTCCAGGAGTTGGTCTCCGGCTTTGGGCACACGTTTGTAAGTAAACAGCCGACATTCGCTGAGTGCGGGCCCGACCGACTTCGAGTGAGGTGCGACGGGGCAGAGGTCCGAAACCATTTCGCGTAACACTAATTTAATAATAATTGAATGTTGACGGGGTAAAGAAAACGAAAGGATATTTATTCCGTCAGTTAGATTGGCAGAAAATAATGAACACTTACTATTTTTTTTTGTCAATTAACCAAAAAATAAATTTAGAAATAATACCAAGTAGAAATTGCATCAAGTCATGACATGCGATATTTCAAATCAATATATCAATGCAATATTTTGGTTATCTTAAAAAAAGAAAAAATACGCGTCCAATACTTTTTGATAATTTATCTGATGGACGAAGAAAAAATGGTTAGTCATGATTCCTATTCTCTACGATTCAAACATGGCTTGTTACTCTCTGATAATTTTGGAAAAGACTAGATTCTGTCTTGTGCCTCTTCTATAAAGAAGTTTATCGATACTTGAATTGTTAAAGAGCTGTTTTCTATGAACACCAATTCTGTGCGACTCTCAGAAGAAATTCCGGCCCACACAAGTACAGACCCACCACTGTAGGCTACTTTTTCTTCGATGCATGCTTGCTTGAATGAATCTTTCCCCAGGTCTTCTATATACTCTGTGTCTTCCATCGTGTTTGTAGAGCATATAATTTTTTATTCTTCGGAGAACATAACTTTTGACTCCAGTTTAGGGCCGTTTGCAGTACTAAGTGGTTTCAAGCTAACTTCGGCAAGTCATCGTCTTACTGTCCATGCGCTTGGGTTACTTCCTCCGGGGAGTCGAAACTGATTTGTAATTTCAGTTCCTGTGAGAAAGCGATTTCGAAGCATGGTGTTTACCAACTATCGATCTTCTCGTGCTGTGGTAACGTCGTCTGTACTGTTGACAGCGACACACTGACAGTCCTGGCTGTATCGCGCAGTTTAGACACTAAAAGCTCAAAGCATTCATTAGATCTTTACGATTCGTAACACTTTGCTACAAAAGGTACCTATAAGACATATCTTTGTATGATGAGTACAAACATGTGAGTAAATAATTCTTGTGAGTTGTTGAAAATTCATAATTATTAGAAAAACAACAGCACCAAAAGGTAGTGTTACATTATTTAGGTCTTCTGCAAGTTGGAGGTTACTTCCCCAGACCAATGCTCCAATTCGAGCAAAAAATCCGCGCCCGACCTATCTAAACTTTATTTATCTGTAGTTTTGGTCAAGAAGTTTGCCGTGACCTATACTTCTATTCATTTTTAATCGTCAATAATAATTTTTAATGTAAGCTACAGAAATTGTTTAGCATACCTGCACCCAAAGAAGGCGAGAGAGCAGCGATCGACAGCAATCACCGCAGTCTCAGTCGAGTGCCGCCTGCGCCGCACCGCGGACCCAAAGCCACTTTCTAACCGCTCGCCATTGCATTCGAACTTCGAACGGTATCCACACCTATCAGCGCGATGCTGCCGTTATTCCAATTTTAAACTTTTCACTTTTGTCTTAAAAAGAAAACACAAACTTTTTTTATTTTCTGCATTATTTCAAAGCTAAGAAAATTTTTTGTTTCCAAAATCAAAGTGAAGTGACGAAATAAGTTGCGTACTCTTTCTTTTTCTATTTATAAATAAATACTATGAGAATTTAGTGCAAAAGTGAATTATGCTACAGCCAAGATTACCCGGATTTTGTGGAAAAATGAGGGCTGAAACAATTAGTGCGAGATGGAGCTTTGTGTTGGTTGCGGTTGTGTTAAGCGCTGCGCTTGTGAGATGTCAAGGTAAGGCGGATTTTATTCATACGATCGTGTTAAATGTCAAAATAACAAGTGCAACTATGCAAGAAGAGGAAAAAGTATTATTAACCGCTTGCAAAGTTGATTGGACCGAGTCGTTTAAGTTTTAAGTTATCAGCGTGTAAGCTCTCGTTGAAAAGACATCAACGCGCTAGGCGAGCTTACTTACTTTCAATATAATTTTCATTATTATCTTTGAATTTAAGACAGAATGTGGTTTCCAAATATCTTTTTAATTGTTTATGATTAACGAACTTATTATTTGACAAGCTTTTTTTAAAATAAAAATCATTGTGCTGCCCAAAATAGATTTTTAATAAGATAAATAGAACACATAAATTTTCTTAAAGCTTTTTCAATAAACTCAACAAACGAAATTTTAATTCAAGAAAATTACATATAATTATACTGTTGGCTCTACATAGAAACTGTTTCGTCAATGTTGTATATTAATTAAGATGTGAAATAATAAATAATCAGCATTAAAGTTACATAACACATACGAGTTGGCAACATAGTATAGCGGGCATTAATGTCAAGGATATATGAAAGCTTCTCGACATTTCGACAAGTTCTTATTAAATATTTGTATCCTATTTAATTCAAAATATTGAACGAAAATAAGTGTGTTGGACTTCCTCCTAAGTTTTTTTTTATTAGAGTTTATAAATCAAATTAAATTAATCATTAAAGGTTCAGGTTAAAATATGTTCTTACGTTATATTTTATATAACCTTTACAGGGCTTGTTTCTCTATAAAAAACAAACTTCATGAAACCAACGTTATTTTTGAAAAATCTCTTTTTAATATTAAATTATAGAAAAAAAAAGATATCTTAAAAATATTTTTTTATATTTAGTATAAATATTTATGGAGCTGGTTAATTTAGAATTAAACTGGTAAATATAGAATGGAATCGTCCCAAAAACGACATTATTTCCTATTTCCATTACTTAGGGCGAGTGTACATCAAAAGACGATTATTAAAATATTCGCAATCGCCAGTGATTATCGATTAGGCAAATCGATTACGTAGGTATCGTTTTGATTACACCACTAGTTAAGTGTTACTACCATTAGCGGTTGTTGGTCTTGAATAATGTTTCTGTTATTTATAAAAAGGCTACATACTATGTAGAACGAAATTATATAAGACAAGCTGTGCCCGCGGTGTTACCCGCAATTTATCAGGGATATTTTCCCGCAGTAAAACGTAACGTATGTATTAATCCAGGGAGTCAGCTAACTATACAGTATTAAAATCGCTACAACCGTTTAGACATGAAGAAGTAACAAACATACACACTCATACACTCACATTAGGGTGATTTTTACTATAATTATATTAAAAATAGGTCTTTATAATGAACTAGTCCTCAACCTGAGGATCTGCCCTCGCTTCTTTTCGTCCCTCTTATTCCAAAACGCGGATTAAAGTTAGTCTTGGTTTAAACCTAATCTTGCCTCTGTCTTCTTTTATATAAACAAAAGTGACAGTATCAATTGTGGTTCAGGCTTACCTTTCGCTTACGTTTTGGAATAAGGAGGTATGTGTTTTCACTCTCAGATTTAAATTATACATATGAACCTTCTTCTTGAGTTACTCTTTGTATTGCTGAAAACTGTGCATCCTTATCTGACTTTGTTTAATACTACTTGTATGTTATTTTACTAAAATATAAGGAACATTATCTGCGTGGAGAGATTTGTTTCCCATACACACTTCCACATCCCATTTTCAGTTTCACCCTTGTTAAAGATGATATTTGAGATAAAGACTATTCTATGCTCCAAGACTCAAAATTTGTCTATACTTAATATCATCTCAATCGGTTTGCGGTTTGCGTGTGAAGAGGTAACAGACATACAGACACTTTGTCCGTTTGTTAAAAGGTTGGCAAACAGGCGCATATTTACACGAAATCAGAGAATGTTTAGACATACTTATTATAAGGTGGGTTAAATTTGTTCTCTGTGTCTTCTATAAAAAATGCCTTTTTTCCGTCTGTCAATCTTTTTATCATAAAGTTCAAATGACAAAACGACCAAACGAATCCAAAAGGTTCATGAGTTTTTTGACCTTTTGAATTTGGCTATTGGCTTACTATGGTAAGGCTGATGATCCGACATACATTGTGCAAGTGCATTGCATCAGAGTGAACGTACGGACGGACGGACGGTCATCGCGCTAAATGTCACTTATGTATCATCTAACACATTAGTTAGGGTGTTAGGTAACCCATGCGATTTTACTCTGTAATGTTATAAAATTGGCCTCTATTTAAATTTATGTACAGGTCAAGTTGTCCGAAATTGAAAAATTATGAGTAATTTTTTGATTGGTTGCTTTATTTTCGTAAGCGATTGAGAATTTTACGCTTATTCAATTATAGTATTAGTCCAATTATTTTTTATTAAACAAATAACTATAATTACATCACAACAATATCAAACTAAAAACTTATCGTTAAAAATTAAACCTAAAATATTTATATACATATTGACAAGAAGAGTATGTCATGCAAAAATCCAATTTAGGGGATGGTACCCAGAACACTGGCGGCATTACCTCGCTGAATGGCTAAACTGATTCCCTGCGCGAAATAGCTGCCATTAGTTGTTATTGTGCTTTTAGACTCAAAGTTTACGTTAAAGTTTCTTACTGTGGCCACTATTCCTACACGAACAACGAAATTTGGTGACTCATTTCTTTGTCGTACTATTCGTAAGTGGAATTCCCTCCTTCCTATAATCTGGGGTCCTTTAAGAGAGGCGCAAGGTGAGGATGGTTGGTGTAGCAGTTTATAACTGCTGTACCAGCTATCTTCGCGTTTGGACTTTATCACCACTTAACATCAGGTGGGGTAGAGTCATTTGCCTACCTTGATATATATATAAAAAAAAGTTTTCGACTTTGATTGTATGCACGTCTAGATTAAGCAGATAATAGAGCAATTCAAATAAACCACGCAAAGAAAACGGCTCATGTTACGCGCAATGTGTGCGTGACTTAAATGTCAGATTGTTTTAAAGCAGTCAATGTGTGCGTATGTAGCGACGAGCGTATCTACCAAATGTAGTAGATATTTTTGGGGCACTTCAATGCAGTAATAACGGTATGTTGGCGTATATAATCAAAGGTTTTCAAATATCATTTTACTTACGAATTACTTGCTTCTTGGGACTTATATAACAATATCAAATGGGTTTTTAATCATTTGTGAAATAATATCAAACCTTAACTTCTAAGATGATGATAGATGAGAATGATTTAAATAATTACAATTCACAAATATTAATTGATATTGAATCGAATAATTGGACTATTTTTTTAAAAATTCAACAAAAAATTCTAAAGATATTTTTAAAATAAAAATAAAATTAAATCGTGCTTCCAATTTATTAGTTTCTTTCAACATAACCTCAATCTATATGCTGCTATCGCATTTAGTTTATTCAGAAATAGCATACACACATGTAGGTGTGTTCACAAAACACAAAAAATTGCACAATTCTTTCACAAGCAATAGAGAAATATTAACAACACTCAGAGAGCCAAATATGTTTTATTATAAATATTGATAAATATCAGATATGTTAAGAAATCAAGTATCAGACAAGATTTTTCAATACAAACCGAGCAGCAATAAAACTGAGAGCTTTGTGAAATGAGCAGTTTAAATTGTGTAATGTGTTTTAAAACATAGATTCTGTGTTTGATACTCACTTGTGGCATTTGAAAATGTTCGGGTATTTAGTAATACGACTATTATTTGTATTTATTTGCGCTTTAATGTTTGATACATTTTTTTATTTATCGCTTAAATTCGTAATACTAAATATTACTTACGTGTTGAAACCTAAAGTTCGATTTATTTACAGATATTGCAATTCACGAAGACGCACTCCACTATTACTCCTAACCATTTATAGTAAATGTGTGCTGGCTTCCGCCAATATTTGAGTGTTACCGGTACACACTAATTATCTATGATAATAATAAATAATAATTATCTAATTATTTTTTATCACTAATTAATTATCCTACAACCAAAAATTTTTGGGTTGCATCTTCGTGGATTGCACGTGGATTACATTGATCTGTATCTGTATATGTCTGCCTTTCGGATTTTTATAGTGTCAGTATTGCTTTTACGTGTCAATATTGTTGTTTTTGTCTGTTACATAAATAAATAGTTTTCTGTTTTTATATATATTAAAAGTTGGCTTGCATTTATGGTAACTTATCGCTAGCATTATCACTTTTTTAAATTAACTTGTTCAATGTCGCTTTCATTTGTCAAACTTACAAGTCAAGCATTAATTTAATGACTCTTAGTTTAATATTAATGGTCTACCATGAATCATCTATCATTCATTGGTAACTGTGCCAATAATAGAAAGATAAAAAGACTCAGGTATCAAATCTTCTTCCAATGGCACCTGTTTAAAGTAGGACGAATATGAACTTTAATATTGCAGACTGTCAGATTCAGAAAAGTTGATTTCTGTTTAGTAAATTATTCACCGGAATATACACACATCAAAAGTGTCTAGGGATCAAGCATTTTTATGCGGATTTCTTGAGATTGAGATGTGGCTTTGTAATAAATTTATGATTTTATAAATTTATATGGATCCTTTTTGGTGCATTTCATAATTTGAATCAGGAACTGTGAATCAAATTCGAGTAAAAGATGAAAATCAGCTGTCAATATTTTCCCTATAAAAACATACAACGCATTGAAGACATTATTAGTGCTACTGTTTCCCTACTACTGATTAAAACCAACGTTATTATGGAGCGGCGACGTCATTTAAGCAGGGAAGAAATGCTCAGAGCCGTGGGAATGATAGAAGCTGGTTCCCGGCAACGTACTGTGGCTTTAGCTCTGAATACAAGTCAGAGTGTTATCAGTCGACTTTGGACACGATACCGAAGCACTGGTACCGTGGCTGAGCGCCATGGAGGACGGTATCGCTG